TTTAAACTAAACAAACACATCTAGTTCTCCTATGAATCTTGGTTGAGCGATTGGATCACATGCTTTTACACCTCCGTTTAGTGCTATCTACTGTGATGTAATCAGCTGGGACAAATGTTTGCACCATGTGTGCATGATGTCACCGAGGGTCAAAGCCCCTAACTGGTTCTTTACAGGACAGAAAACAAGCTGTGCTCTGTAATTGGGCATAGTGAGGTGATAATGGCCCGCACACATTAACTGACCACCATGTCAAAGTCCTTGCAACTACTCCTCTTTATGGCTGCATCTAACTTGCAAAGGTTACGACACGACAGCCTGTTCCATAAAACAGTCTGTTTGTCAGCAGGTTTTACTTATTTCGCTTATAGCTAACATTCAACATCGTACACATACACGTGTAGATAAGAAATGTTCTGTGGTCTGATAAAACTAGAGTTTAAGTGTTACCACAACTATGACTTAATCTGGAGGAAAAAAGAGGCAGTTGGCAACCTGGGAAACACCATCTCATCTGTGAGATATAGGAAGTGGAAGGTGATTGGATGAAATCATTATGAAAGAATATTACACCGAAATATAAAAGTAATGTCTCAAAAAATAATCCAGGAGGTCAGTCATAGTACATGAGGTCCATTCAAAGGTTGGAGATAAATAGGTTTTTCCTAACTGTAAATGGAATGAATGAATTTATAAAGTGCTTTTCTAGTCATATTCGTAGCCCCCTAACGCACTTTACTATAGCCGCATTCACCCAATCTCACTCTCAAACACGCCCACATTCAGACACCAATGGCTAAAGCAATAGTCACCTTTTCTAACCTAAGTACATGGAAGGAGGCCTGGAATCAAACCTACAACTTTTGCAAGTATCTACTGTTGCTACTGAGCAACGGTCACCACAAAAATATACTCGTCCCAAACATACTGTCAAATTAGTTACCAAGAAATCAAGGCAAAGTTTACATTGAGCATAACAAAGCATTGATTAAATTCTATAGAAAATAAGTAGGTAGAACTAGAAAAGTGTGTCAGAAAAGACACCTACAAAACTCACTTTATTATTAAGCAAGAGGCAGGTGCACCAATCACAGGTTGACACCCATCACAAGGTAACACAGACTTTCATTCATTTTTCATACATTTCTTTGGCCTTTCTTAGACCCTCATACTCCTATGACTAACATTGTGAAAAAAGTGATGACCTCCAAAATTTCCCCTCTTTCCCAAAATCACCTTACTTTGAGGGTAAAATAAGGCAAACAATTCTCTTTGAGCAGCAAATAGGTATACTCATACCAAAGAGCATTTTAGAGAGTTTGATTTGTTGCAGTCATATTTCAGATGATTGAAGGTGGTGGTGGTCACTAGGTAAGAAGGTATACCCTGGACCAGTTCTAGATCATCACAAACACCAAAATATGATAGTATTTTTTTTCTTTAATTAAGTAAGAAAGATCCATTCCATAAAAAACGATTAACATAATTATTTTTAATCACTTTTTATAAAGAGCTTATTATTTTCCCTGCAAAAAAATCCCAACTATATTAAGTTTTATGTCTGGGGTTTTATTCTAAAAGAATGACTGTTTTCTATAAATTAAAACCTCAGCCTTCTTAAAGAGTCTATTTTTAAGAGTGTGCAGAGGAATTTGACATTGGAGAACGGTTTCGTGAGGTTAAACATGCTGTGGAATCCTGCCCTCTTTGAAACAACAGACCACTGACCTCGCCATCTTGACCATCTCACTGCGCCGACCCAACCCCCCCGCAGCCCCTCCCCTGTCATTCCTGTCACAGCGATTAATAGAAGGACCAAGGCTATTCTTCTTTAATGGTTGAAAACTAACTTCATCTTATGGTTTCAATCAGGCCAAAAAGCCAGAGCTGACTTCACCCAGCGCCTACCCAGCTGCAGATTTCACCCGACCCAACCCTGAGGCCTCTGCAGCTCTTTATCAAGAGCGTGATGCCTGTTTCTAAGGAGCCACAATCAGGAAACATGACATCTGCTTTCAATTTGGGGGAGGGGGTTGTATCACTTCCTCGCCCCTCTCCTGCTCAAACACACACAAACTTACAATTGAGTCCTAAAGTTTCACTGCCTTATGCATTATCTCTGAATGAGCCTGTCTTGTGTGAGTGTGTGCTGGTAGATAGTGAGGAGATTTTGTTGCAGTCACGCATTGACTGCTCAGAGGCTCCACACTAATTATGTCCAGAAATGATTTTTATCTAACCTGTATCTGTCTCAAAATCCAGAGAAAGACTTTGCAATTACTCGTGTTTATATAGGAAATTATGGAGTCAGACACTTCCATACTGGATTGCTGAATGTACGTAAAGAAAATGAACTAAACACAAAGAAGTTGCTGAAAACAGACTGAGTTTATTTCAAAGTAAGAATTTTTATTTGCAACTAAAAAAACAGTCACTGGTGTGAATAAAGATTTTCTTTTAGATGTTTCTGTCTACTTTCGTGCTCTCCTCTGCAGCTTGAACCTGAAATTCGACTTTGCGCATTACAAGCTCTTTCCCTCATGCGATGGAATGAGCACTATGTTGTTGACATTTCTTCTGTAATTCCTCAGTACATCTGTTACTTCAATGGCTGCTATGAAAACAATGATTTCCATAATTACATGCCCAGGGGTTGGCAGTGAGGTTGGGCAGGGTTCATTGCTTCACTGGAGAAATTCCTTAAACCACTTCACAGCATAGGCAGAGCAGAAGCTGGTTTATGTACAGTCCACATGTGTTTATGCTAAAGTTTTCCAGATAGCAATATCCTAAATATGAATTTAATGTCAGCACTTTGAACGTCATAGTTTTTAATTTGTGCTTCTGTTGAATTTTCTAACTCAGAGTTAAGATGCTTATTCATTTTTATACACTGAGAGATTTATACACTAAAACAAAAATGCAAATCCAACTTAAATGAATGGCTTCAATAAGTCACAAGTAATTGAATTAAGTTGATCCAACTTATTTCATTAAGTTTATAAGCTGAAAACTTAAATGAACTTGGACAAACCTAATTCAATTACTTGGTACCAGTTACATCCATTATTTTATGTTAGAGCTGCATTTTCTTTTTAGACTCAGATGACTTTTCACTTAATGCATCAGCAGCTTGTTAGAAAACAAAAGGAAGTTGAAGCTAAGTGTCGATAAAGTAAAATGTTAAAATTGCATAATTGCCCTTTATCACATTGTCAGAACCGCTAGTTAAATTTGGGAGTGTGTGGAAAGCATTTTGGATATAAGGGGAAAAAGGAAAACAACCTTTCAGCAACCAACCAAAATAAGCAAGATTGCTTTCCAAAGGCAGCAAATAGGTAACTTTTTATAAAGCTCTGTGTTGTTTTGTACTTCACTGTTTTATGTCTTGAGTTTATAACGACTTCATAACAGCATCTTAAACTAAGAACAACATAGTTTCCATTTGTTCCATTTTATCTTCATCTTTGGTTCAATCCTGCTCCAGTTGTACAAAACATTTTTCCTAAGGAACATAATTTGCTTGTCTCTTTTCATAGCTTCTCGGTGTCTATTGAGGGAAGCCTGTGGTATGTTCAGTTAAAGGAAACTGATACTTTGCCCTAACATCTCACATTCTCTCCTCCAGCATTTTTCCCACACATTTGATGCAGATGGGGCGTGTCACATAGTTGGAACTACATGAACTGTAGTGCTATTCAAGATTTTTTAAAATATGTATTTGATCAGAAATATAAAAGTTTTTCTGCAGCTGATTATGAATCTTTAGGTTGTAATTGTATCTGTGCTGCTTCATTATACAAATCGAACACAGCTGCCTCTCTTGGTTGATGATCTCATTATTGCAGCCTACCCTCCATGAAAAAGACAGGAGGATTGAATTAGGGAGACCGATATGTTTTTATTTCCAGCCACAACAGAGTGCTGCAAACTATATTGTAATTGCACCGTCATTTAAACACTACATTTTTGTTTTTCTATATTTCCTTACTTTTATAATGACTTTGTGGACATCATAAGCTTCAGGTAATATGTAGGGTCTCTGAATCCATTATCCATCCAGTCAGACTTTTTGATCTTCTGCCATTGGAGGCAATTTAAAGAGCAGAGCGGTGGCCTTTGTAATGACCCATTTACATTTTGCTTTATATTAAAAGTATAAGTCAGATAGTTTAATAACTTTTTTGAGAGTTTGTGGTTATTTTTAGTTCTCTTCAAATTAAGTTATTTTTCCAATTTTCTGATAGACCACATATTGATCACACTTTTATTAAATATAAATGACTTTTAATCATTAACTTTACAAACATATACTATCATTTCTATTATTTTCATAATAGATATTTGTTCCTTTAAAATGAATTATGCATAAACAATATGCATATTTATGTAAGCCAGGTCTTCTTTGTGTGCATCCTTTTTGTTCCTAAAACTCCTTCTGCATCAGTTCAGGCATATTCAAGATGAACGTTAACACCCAGGCTCCACGCCCTTCTCTCTCTTGCATGCATCAGCCAGCCTCATATTCCTTCCAGCTAAATATAAACACATTCCTCTAACTTCTTTGAAGGTCATGAGAAAACAGTTTAATAAAAAAAAAAATTGCAAACAGGCAGGAAAGAATTGTACATATCTAATCATAAAACATTTAGTGAGTTAGCAAACAATACATTCTAGATCCACATTTTTAAAAAAACCTGTAATGGTAATACTGCTATAAAATAATTTGTAAAGAAATGAAAATTTGAAATTCATAGTAAATCTTTTTCTTTCAAAACAAAAGATTGAATTTTATTTTATTTTTTTCCCTAAATGATCTGTTGAGAGAGTCTCAGATTTCAGAGAGTGAAATAGTTGTAGGGTTAAAACTTGAGTTGAACTGACCATATAAACAAACACTACTCCATTCCAGCCCCACCCATTCCAAGCCCCCCTCTCCTAAAGCATGGCTATTCAATCCCTCAGAGCTGACCATCTTGGAACCGGTTATTTTTACTTACCGCTCAAAAGCTGGGTGATGAGAAGCAGAGCTAAAGCCAACATTTGGGACGGCCTGTTTTTTCTCTGTCCAGATGATGCTGCCATTCTCTTCCTGAGTGCACTCACGGGTAGTGAGAGAAAAGAGAGGGAAGAAAGAGCACAAGGAAAAGGGCCAGAGCAGTTTAGGGTTTCCTCTTACCCAGGGAGGGAAAGACTGGATAAAGCACCACTTGTGTTCTGTCAGTTATTATATAGCCACCCCCCCTCTTTCCTCTCTTACAAAGACCCAGCCCTACACCCCCTTATTCCACTGGTTTACGTTAACCCTTCCTCTATGCCACCACCCTTTTTATGAAAAAAAGAAGCAATGAAAATGTAAAGAAAGAACATAAGTTCTTCCTTGGGTGTTTCTTATTTAAAAATATTTTCGTGCTTTGCATTACTTTCCCTTTTTAGGTTTACATGAAATTGTCCCCCCCAAACACCACACATCATTTAGACATTAGTTTTTAGGCGAGATCTGGTCGGTCCCTCATAATCTCGATTTAGTAAAGAAATCCTTGTTGAAAATTGGGCTGGTTTGGTCAGTCTGATTTTGTCCCACTTTGATCCGATAGAAGTTGAAAACATGTTGCAAACCCGGCTTCAACGTCTTTTCAATTATCTTAAAATTACAGCTTTTCCCCTTTCACTTTTCAACCAAATGTAGACATCGTTTGAATCTAAATAATGTTTTCCTTAAAATGTCTTTTCAACCAATTTTTTGCTTGGTGGGTGAATTTCCAGTGTCTCAGTCGTCCAAAAGTAAGTGACAGAAAATGTGTGCTGAGCACTGCTTCTTGTTTCTTCCCTTAAGCAGGCTGGGATATGATGTGAGCTGTAATCCATCGCACAATAATAGGTGATAGCAGACAATAAGCTGTGACATTCAGCTCCTTAATAGGCTTATGGAAACAGACCGTAGCATAGAATATCAGAATCGAAACAAAGGTGGAATCCACTCTTATGCTAATAGTATTAATCCATTTCAGTAGCCTGATGCCCCCCCCAGTCCCTCAGCAGGGCCATCAATCAACAACGGCATTTGTTCGGACACCACAGGATCCCCTTAAACCCTTCACACTTCTACAGACTCCTGAAAGCAGCCCACTGAAACCGGAGGATCTCAGCTTTGCCTTTGTTCACCATTGTGCTTGCACTTCTCATGCTCCCTATAAATTACACATCTGGAACCACTGGTGAAGGTATGCTAAATGAGTTGTAAAAGAAAATACCCGCCCTTTTCTAGAAAGAAACCAACAGCAAATGCAGAGTAGTAAACAGTACCAAAAGAGTTGTGCTACATTCTTAAGGAAACAGTAATGTAATTTAATACCAACCCTGATGCCCATGACCCCTTTTTTGGCCCCGGCCTTCCCCCCGTCATCGTATTTCCTCCTAGTTCTCCTGTTTCTTTTAAATGAGCCCTTTATCAAGATGCTGCTCAAACAGCAGGGTGTTTAGGTGGGCAATTGGCTCCTGGCTGTGATTTAAGATGAGCTCAGCTAAAATCCTTAAGAAAAAAAGCACCGATGTGCCTATTCCAGTCAAACTTGTAACACATTAGATGGTTAGTTAACCATTTCTGCTTTGTAAGTTCTTTTGAATAATTGCTCTTTGTTAGTATTAAAAATCATAATGGTAATTTTTTATTTGACTTTTTTTTCTTCCAGATTTTTACTTTTTCTGTTTGTTTCTTTTGCACTGATAACTGACTTACCTGTAGCATTAAGACATCACATAAAGAAAGCTTCTGTGACTAAATCAATTAGGGCAAGATCACGAAAATCAAAAAAATCATGTCCTGATCTATATAAAAATGTATATAAAAATTTAATTAATTAAATTTAAATAAATAAATAAAAATGTATTCATATGTTCCCTAAAGGGTTACAAAGACTTTTCCAGGGTTTTAAAGTCAAACGAACTACAGCAAGAGCTATTAACCCCCAAATAGAGCCAACATTTAGACAGGCAGACAGACAGACAGACAGACAGACAGACATTTTGGTCATAAAAAGGCGTTATGAGTGGCGGCAAAAAAAACACAGCGTTCCAAGAAAAACACTTGCTAACAATTGTAAAATTTGGTGGAGAATCCATCATGCTTTGGGACTGCATTGCCAGTGCTGGCACTGGGAATCTTGTTAAAGTTGAGGGTCGCATGGATTCCATTCAAAATCAGCCGAGAATCAGTTATGAAGTTGAAGTTATGCCGGAGATTAATGTTTTAGCAAGACAATGGTCCAAAACACTGCTCTAATCTCAGGTATTCATCTAACTTAACTGAACTGGAATAGTTTTGCAAAGAATTGTCAAAAATCCCTTCATCCAGGATACAGGAACTCATTAAATGCTACAGGAAGCTACTAAAGGCTGTTGTTTTTTGCAAAAGGAGGATCTACTAAACATTAATGTCTCTTTTTTGCTGAGGTGCCCATATTATTGCACCTGTCAAATCTTGTTTTAATGCATATTGCACCTTTTCTGTTAGTCCATAAACCTCAATTCAATACTGAGATATTACTGTGTCCATTGTTTATTAGATATATCAAACTGAAATAGCTTTTGCAAACACCCAAATATTTAGGAATAAAAATAATAAAGATTAATAGGGGAGTCCAAACTTTTTCATATGACTGTAGATACATAGACAGACAAATAGACAGGCTTGACCTTAAAGGTAATTCATAATGAAAATGTTCCAAGTAATTAAATACAATTAATTTAAAAAGGTTTGCCCTTAATTCCTCCACAAAACAGCATAAACATTGTAGCTCTTTTGCTGCCAAATCCTTAAGCTGAAAACTAAACGTTTTTGAAGCAAGAATCACTTAAATATACTTATTATAAAAGAATTCCAATGAGCACTTAGGTGTTACATAAGGTGAACCACTGAAGATATATAGCATTCAGCTATTCAGTAGCAAGTGGGTGAATACAGGTTAAACAGCACTTTGCATTTTATTATTCTTACTTTCCCATAAGATAAAAATCTTGGTCAGACTTGGAGAGCTCTGACAAGAAGATTGCAATCCAGACCCCAATATGGCTAGAAAAGCAAGAAGCTAGCGTGAATTATTGGCACAAGCAGGAGCTTGCTGTACTTATTTTATAAAAAAAAATAAAGGCAGATGGAGAGTAGGAAGTCACCTCTGAAGACCTGACAAAAACAGGGATTATACCAATATCTGACCTTAGTAGCATTTTTTTTTCTGATGCTTAAACCCTAAAAGTGATTTTTTTAGCACAATTTCTAAAACTATTAATACTTATTGCAAAGCCATTCACTAAGTTTGCAAAGCTAAAAGCAAAAACATTGCTTTGCACAACACTCTTTTTGAGGAACTGTAAACACAAGCAACTGCTTCACCCTCAATTTCCAAATGATCAACGTATTCCTAGAAAAACTATATACATATATGGCTATTACAGCGTTTTCTGATTGCACAATTTTTGTAACTAATGGCTATTATTGAAAAACTCTACACACAAATAAGTAAACTTTTTTTTTTTCAAAATCAGCAAAACATTGTAGTAACTCTTAAAACCTTTGTAAAAATTATGTTATTTTTTTATCAAGCAGTTAACACAAGACACACAAGAAACCATAAGAAATCAATGTGTATACAACACACACAGGGATGACAAATTCACAAATTCTTTGTTCACCCCCTCTGCATATTCAGGCCTGACATGATGCCTGGTCAATATCCTGAAATGCGTCCACCATTGCCTTTAAAAGGGCTGTTGGTTGATGGGGATTACAGTTATAGATCCTCCAGCGCCAGGCAGAGAGACTCTTCAATCTGATTCAAGAATGGAGAGCACGGTGGGAGGTTGAGGGGGCTGAAGGATGGGTTGATCTGTAAACCGGTTGCTGACCAAAGCAGTCCTATGGAAACTAACATTGCAACATTGAACCAACATTCTCCTCTTCCTCCCTCTTCTTCACCTCCACATCCTCTTCCTTGTACTGCTCTAAAGGGCTGGTCATACTCCCTGCAGCAGTGTGTCGCAGTGAGCTTGACGTAGACATTTTTGATTTATTCTCAATTTTGAAGCGTGGTTTGCGCTATACCCTGTGAGTCTAGAAACGGCCGAGGCAGTAAAGAAGTGGGGGCAAGTTTGTCCGACAATGGAGGGACATGAGGGCGAAAAAATAGCTGGGATCCAGGTGGAAAAAAGGTCCCAGCGACTAGTTGTTTCGAAGTATAAATCAGCCTTAAGTCTTAAGGGCAGATTATACTTCTGCATCCTCACACATCAAATGTCGTGAACCAGTTTTGCTGGTATGCCTCTGCAAAAGCGCAAGGGGGAGCCTATTAGAGAACTTGCGAGAACTTCGGCGGATCGCACCGAATCGAGAAGGACCACCGAACACACAGGAAAGGCATACCAAGGATCAATCACAGCTGCTTTTTGTCTGTGCACTTCCGCTTGAGATCTGCGCGGTATTGCGACCGTCTGAGTTATACTTTGAAACCAGGTCATCTGCGTAGGTGTCGCAGTGAACAAAAAGACATCTCCGCCCCCTCCACAGACACTCTGCTGCACCTCCCCAAATTGTAGGTGAACGCAGACAGAGCTGCAAACAGGAGGCCGGCTTCTTTTGTTTGTTTTGAAATTGAGGAAAACAACTCGTGAAGATGGACCAGCTAGAACAGCGAGGTGCGCAAGAATGCTGAGAGCCTTTTTCCACCTGAATCCTTGTTATTTTTCACCCTCATGTCCCTCCGTTGTCGGACAAACTCGCCCCCACTTTCTCACTGCCTCAGCAGTATCTAGACTAGGGGTGGGTATTGCCAAAGAAGTCACGATTCGATTCGAATCATGATTCACAGGCCACGATGCGATTGTATCACGATGCATCACGATACTTGAATTATTGCGATGCATTGCAATATTTTATCCTCCATGTTTTGTTTTTGAATGCCTCGGCACAGTATCCCGTGGCCGGAAATGCTTGTGACACAAGGCAGCGTGCGTCAACACATTTGCAGCGACATCTACTGGACTGGAAGTTGTATTACACTTGTTTTTGGCTGATGTTCGCCAACCATTCATGCAATTTTATTTATTCATTTTTATAAAATTAATAATCGATTCTTGGCATCAAGAATCGATGCAGTAGATCACGAAAATTAGAATCACGATGCATCATCATCACGATTATTTTGCACACCCCTAATC